AGTGTGCGTATGTCTAAAAATCGAATCGGCTATCGTTTCTACGGGAGTTACACATAGAGAATGAAGGAGGGGGATAAAGCGCCTGTATGTGAACAAAAAGGTGACAATTTCACAGAAAAGTGTTTTCGCTTCAGAAAGTAGTTCTTTGACCTCTGTTCACCACTATGCGTAAAAGCACCTCTCTTCGCTCCTAACTCTATCTTCTTCCGTTCATTTAAGAAATTTTCCGCATATATTCTCGGTCGTAATTTTTTCTCTCTTCTTATTTTGCTATCTGTCAGAGGGGCGCGTGTTTGGCGCGCCAAGGGGGCATATCTGCCAATGGCAGATTGGTCTTATGGCCAGTCCGAGCCTGTACGTAACACTATTTATTGATTACGGTGTTTAAATATGTTTTTGGTAGTTTAAAAGAAGAGCAACCCTTTTTATGAAGAACTAGAGGGCTCCGCTCCTAGACCACTTCACACTTCACCAAAGCGCATAGAGCCTCAGGTGTTATGCATTACGCAAAACCCTTATAATAATTAGTTATAAGAGTATGATATATTTTTCCAAACTATGCAAATTACTATGCTTATTAACCATGCAATATTTTTTCATTCGGTACTTATAATATATAGTTGGCTTTTTAAAATGTGAACTATTCTAAATTTTTGTCGGTGATTATATTTTTTTTCCCTCTCCTTTTTTTTGGTGTAAAATTACAGATCTTGATGCACCGTCTCCAAAATCACCGATAAAAAGGGAGTGGTTGCACTTCTTGTTGGGAAATATACCGGGACCAGCAATCAGTCAAGGCGAAATCTTAGCTCCCTATATTCGTCCTAATCCTGAAGAAGGCAAGTATTTTTCAGCCAAGCCCGCAACCAATGTGCGATACTTTTAAATATTTTTGCAGTCAATTCTTCGAGCTCTTATTCCTATGCAATAAGCTCAAATTCTGATTAAGCTTTTTTGATCAAATTGCGTCACCCATTATCCAATATTGCGCCTGTACGGTCGATGAGTCGATGAGAACTAGAAGTGAGACTGTTGACCTCTCATGTCGTATTCATACATTATGCACCTTTTTTATTGAAAGACCCAAAAAATAGGCATGTCAATCGATATTATTGGATGAATTAAGGCATGGGTTTTTTTCTCAACAGAACTATAGGCTCAAATCGTCACATGTAAGAAACTGGAAGTTGGAATTTTATACATTATTTTGGTATTACAAAAACTTCGACACTTTTTTCAATACCATGAAGACTAATGTCATTTTCCAAATCTATGAAAATGTCACGTCATTTTAATTAATTAATTTTCGTTGAAACTGAAGCTCTTGAGCACAAAATGCGACAAATTTGAAAGGACTTTCAAACATGACGCTTCCATGATATCTTTTTTTTTTTAATTTTAAGGGATCTGCCTTATTTATTTGATTCATTATGTTTTATTTATTAGTGTACATGAGAAATTTAAATCGATAAAACCAAGCGATGACAGAAAATTTCGTCAAATGTGATTTCAAATATATTCTAATTTAGGGGAAATCAATACATTGTCTTTGTTTACGGGGAAATTTAAATTACTGAGATGGTTTATTCAACGAAATCTCATAGAAATAAAATTGAGGTTGAAAGGTTCTCTGCCATTTGCATCATTGATTGATTCGTTCATCTGTAAGTACACCTATTTATTATCATTGTTACTTTTTTTAAAGGGACACATCGACTGGTTTTTTTAGTCTATAAGCAACCTCAAGGCAGAGTCAACTTTCAGGAGCGGAAACTACAGTATACGTAAGTTTTAAGCTTGTTTCTCGGAATTTTTTCGCGTAGCCCTCTAACATGGGTTGCTTTTTTTTAAAATAACCTTTAACATTTTTAAACACCTTATTCGAGAAATATTTTTCACCATTCATTGCGTATAGAATATCATTGGAAATGTATCTTTTTATTTAATGAAAGGTAAATACTAGATTAGAAAAATTATCACTCCTGGTCAAGTCTTGGCTTTAATTAATTCTGGAGTCGGGACAGGATACTGCGCTTATGGGACATTTATGGGCAGGATTTGGAATTTTTCGCGGAGGGCGTATGAAAAAGCACCCTTCATGAGGGCTCTGCGGCAACTCCAAAGGGAGATCCGATCCCCCCCCCATCCGTAAAATTATGAACATTTAATAGTCAAATGGTGACGATTCCTGAAATTTGGCAACACTGTTTTCTCCTACCTTTAAAGCCATTATCATTAGGTCCAGTTACACGATCAAATTTAGCCATAAAACTGAAGCTCTGATTGGTGGAAAAAGACCTGGGAGGCCCAATTTGATGGTTCAATTTGATCGTGTAACCAGACCTTTGAAAATATCGATTTTAGGTGAGAAGAATCAAATGTTCACATACACAATTGAACATAATACATTGTTCGATTGTTGGATGACATTTTGCAATAAGGAACCACTATCTCTGGCTCTTCCATGAAAGCATGTATCTTCGTATGGAAATTAATGTCACATATGTTGTTTCTGAAATGAGCCAGAAATAGTGGTTCCTTATTGCAAAATGTAATCCTGTTGTCATACATTTAAATGGAGGAAAAACAGATTTGCCAACTTTGAAAAATCACCACTGTGTACGTCATAGGAGTAATTTTGAGCTGTTCTTGTAGAAAAAGCAATTCACATACAACTTTAAAGATGTCTCTCTCGTAATTTTTTCGTAAAGTTCTATACATTCATACTGAGTTCCCATCCATTCTATTCAACTCACTCTGATAATCCTCATCGTGGCATCTCATTGGCAAACACTGAGCGCGCATTTCATGGGAAATATACAATTACTAGATGCTTATTGGCTTATTTCCATCAAAGAATCATGTCCCTGCGTGTAAATGCATATTTTAATTACCATAATGTCTCCTCATTTGGGATTACACATCAATTGTATTCTTGTATTTTAGGACGGATCCTGCAAGAGCTTACTTTTCGTCAAAAAACTTTGCAATAAAATACAACTTCGGTGATCCGTTTGCATGCAACTTCTTCTTAGTGGACGCACCAAAGCGACTTTCGGTGGATTCACCAGCTGAAAATAGCACCAATTTAGGGGAGAAAATTGGCGAAAATAATGTCAAGCCAACCTCGACGATTTTCCAACATGAAAAAAGTACCGGTAAGAGAGGAGCCAAGTCAATCTCAACAGTTTCATTGACTGAGAAAAGCACCATTTTGAAAGGTAACTACGGAAGACGTAATAACAAGCCGACACCCACAATTTTACCAGCTCAAAATCGCACTAATTTAAGAGGAAGCTTCAAAAAAAGTAGTAGTGAATCAATGCCGACTTATTCACCAGCCGAAATCAGCACCACTTTAAGAGGACGCTATGAAAGAATTAGCACCAAATTAACATCGACTATTATTCCCACGGCTGAAAGTAGCACCACCTTAAGAGATAAATTTAAAGAAACTAGTGATAAGTCTACACTGACAAAGGGGCCAACTGCAAATAGCATCGCGGTAAGTGAACGTTATGACCAAATTAGTGCTAAATCAACTTCGGCGATTATTTCTATGAATGAAAACAGGGCCACTGCAAGCAATTACTTCAGAATAAGCAGTCCCAAGTCAACGTCAACAATTTCACCAGCTAAAAATCGGATCACTGTGAGAGCACGTTATGAAAGAAGTAGTGAGAAACCAGTTTTAAGACGAACTCAGCCAGTGGAGGATTCAAGCAAAATTGAGATTGGCTACATTTGGTGACACTAAAGCACATTCATCGAAAATCTGACCTTCTTGTGCCCCCTATAGTCGGCTGAGGGATACATCGTTTTTTTTAAACATAGCTCGGCATGACTGTTGGAGGAGATGGTGACCTTCCAAAAGAAATAGAAGGTGCCATTAATAAATTATGTTATAGCGCTTTGGGGATGTAAGGGTGTCGAATCACCTTTCCGGTGCCTCGCGAAAGAGGAAGGGCCTTCAGGCCAGTGATCACAGCGTAGCTACAGGAGGGTCTGAAAAGACGTCATTTTCCGTGATTTTAAACATTTGTTTATCTTTTGAGTCCACCTATTTCCTCCTGTGAGAATTTTTTAACCGCGGTGTACTCCCACCACCAAGAAAAAGTTCTTGCCACGCCGCGCCGCGCCCCTGCTTTAGGGAGAACTTATAAGCCCTGGATAGACGATCAAATTCCCGAACCAATTCCGATCAAAGAAGCATCAAAGTATCGGGAGTCATCAGTCTTAAACTCATTAATTTGCTTCATTTTAAAATGAAAACTTGGCAAAAATGTTTCCTGTGGCAGGGAATGATGAATGGTGGCACTCCATTCTGATCTTACTTTGAACAAAATACTGCGGCCCGTCAAAATTTGATGGTAGATAAGCTGTCAAAATATCTTCAATAAATACAATGTCAAAAACACAATGGGTCATTTTAACAGGTTGCAGGTTAATCGTAAAACTTATTGATCAGTAAAAAATATGGAGTGAGAGCCAAAGTCCTTTAGTTGCGCTGCAACATTTTAATGACGATGAATTATTTTGTTTTCAAGATTTTTCCCCATTTTGTTGGGCATCATTTGTTAATACTTTTCTAAAATTGTATTTTTAATTCAAAGTAAATGTTCTAACGTTTCTTATTTGCAGCATGTTACTAACGTGGAACTTGTTAGCAATACGTTTTAACGCAAATAAGACCATTTGACTCTGATTTCTCCAAATAATGCATTAAATCCGAACTCAAAACGCCCGGTTTCAATAATTCTGACAAACGGCATCGTCCTTCAAAAAATGCAGTGATTGTTGTTACATATCGAGGTGTAGCGCAAATCATTCTTTCTCCATTAATTTTTTTAATCAATGATGCGAAAAGTCTCACTACTTGCTCTAAATATCATCGATAAAATCCAGGTGGAAGAAAAGAATGGTATGAGCAATGCTGCGATGGGTAACAGCAATCATTTGTATTTTTCAAATCTATTATAAAATTGAATGTAAAAACTTGGAGCAAATCTAGATCTCTGGAGCAATCGTTAGAGCTTGGCACCAGTCTACTAATTTTTTACCATTCCATAATTTTAAACCATAAAACAATATTCTGCAGCAAGCGTAAACGACCCATAGCTATGCAAATGAGGGTTCAAGATGAGCAGCCCACAAATTATTTACGGCATTTCCTCCTGATTTTTTAGACTTCTTACTCTCCGTCGTTGGCACTTGTAAAGGACTTCCAACCCTCCCCTCTGTCGTTTATAAATCATGTGAGGCCGAGCTGACTTGCCTATTCTCCCTTACGTTGAAAAAAAAAAGAAAAGGAAAAAGGTGAGAAAAATCGTGACAAGTAGTCAATTGGACGTATTTCTGTCAAACGAAACTATGTGCATTATGACGTGAGTAGTGAGCCCTGTTATGAATGTATTCTTATGAGTCTCAGGGCTCATGTCTTCATGCACATAGTTCCATTTGATGGAAATACATCTAATTGTCAAAATGTTGAGCACCGCTAACTTGAACTTAGCTCATAAAAAAGAAAGAAAATACAAGAAACATTCGTGACTGTACTAACGTGTTGCAAGTTAACAAACTTTCTTCGAGCATTTGACCGTTGTATGGTGAGTTCACATTGAAGCAATGATTGGAAGCCTTCTAAAGCCCTGGATAGACGATCGAATCCCGAACCAATTCCGATCAAAGTAGACATGCTGATGACTGATGGTCAGCATATATTCTCCTCGTAGAAATATTAGCCCTTATGGCTCACTTACTGTACTTATAAGCAGAAAAATTCTCGTCATTTGCCACTGTAGTGAGGAGTGCTAAGCAAAACATGTGACAGTTTTAGAAAATTTTAAGATACGTATATGAAGTTCTACCTTAAAGTTTCCTGATTAGCAGATCGTTACTCGTCAGACGTAAGGGAGTAGTACACAAATAATTGTGATGACCCCTGATATCCATGTGACTTTATGCTTTCCAGGGCTCATATTGAAATAGACTGATTTAGTGACTGCGTCATTCGATGTAATATCGAGCTCTTGGTTCGAACCAAAACAAACCAACATAACGTCATGTGCGAATTCCTCATGAGTTAATTGTGTTAATTTATTAAAATTCAGTCATTGACCGGTCTTGAATCAATCGAAGACTCATTAAATACGAGAACTTTCGATTGTAAGAAACACTTGGACGCATTTTACCACTATGGTGCAAAGGGAATGAGTGCGAAATGGCGCTAATCATAAGCAAAGTTCTTTGTATATGTTTGCATTTGAACCAAGGGTTTGATAATACTATATCGAATTGCGTAGCCACTAAGTCAGTCTATTGAGTCGTTCTTACGTCAGAGAAATGACAAGATACAAACTGCCCATTCGAGTAATATGTTCATTTATTTTGTGAATGGACTACATTTTACCGTAGAGAACTGCTATTTCTGGTTCATCAGTAAAATTAATTAATGCACAGGGAATCAAATGGCACATCAATTGTTTCTAGGTATGTATAATGAGCCAGACGTAATAAATTCCTTACACTGAGAAAAAAGGTACGGTAAAAATATCGTATAGCGATTGGAGATATCGCAATTAGCGATTCATATGGCACTCCGCAATCAGCGATTTTCAATATCATGGGGAGCGATAGTAGGGAATGATTACTTTACTGAGTCCATACCGATGAACTTACTGTGTCAAACGATGATTTCACTGAGGTCAACGATGAGTGGAATCACTATACGGTATGTTCAGCGTACATGTACGATAATATTACCGCATCCACAATAGTTTCACGGTATTCTGCGATTGATACACCGCATCCTAATATAATTTTAACCGTCTCTCGACTACGGCGG